CAGGTTGGGGCTCATGGGTGGCCAGTAGCACCCGTGCAAGGCAGCGCATGGGGCAGGGCCATACGGGGCAGGCAGAGGAAGCCTGGAGGCCGCCTCCCCTGCTGGAGGGGGTCTCAGTGGAGGGCTGGTGGGGCTTGCAGCTGGGCTGGGCTGCCTTGGCCCTGCCTCAGTTCAGGGGCTGGACTAGACGCCCCCTCGAGGGCCCTTCAGCCCGGCCTTGCTGGGCTCTGGGATAAGGGATTTCTTTGTGATTTCAACCCAGAGCCCGTGCCGGTGCCGGAGATAAGGAGCCACTCGCTCTCCAGCACGGCAGCTGGGTGCAACGTCACCCTGGAGTGCCTGGTGCCTGTCAGGGAAGGGGTTAACATCTCCTGGACCAGAGGGAGCCCACTGCGAGACCTGGGCGATCTGGAGCGGTACCAGCTCAGCCCTGATGGCAGGAGCCTCCAGCTGTCCCTGCAGCCCAACCCCCCGGCCTCCAACTTCACCTGCACGGCCAGCAACCCTGCGGACCAGAAGAGCATCTCTCCCGCCCTGCCGAGCATCTGCCAAAGCAAAGGTGAGGGATTTATGGCCTGTCCCAACCTTGCCTTTTATATGACATAACTAGAAGATTTAAGTTTAAGAAACACTGCTCCCCCTCTTTCTCCTTCACCATGGCCTCCTCTCCAGGACGCTGCCCTGCGGCAGGGCCCACTCCGGTGTCTGAGCCCCCCTTCCAGGGGTTGGTGTTTATCCTGCCTGGGGGGAGAGGACAACCCCAGCCATCTCTCACTGCAGCAGCTTGGGGCCAGGTGAGAAGCGCTTCTCCATGGCTGCGGCACCGCCCCAGCTCCAGCGGGCACTGCCAGGGGAGGGGTGCACGTCCCCCGGCTGGGGCGGGTCCAGGTTTGTCGGCTCCCTGCACTCCCCAGCCAGAGTGAAGAATGCAGCAAACTGTGCACTTTCCCCTCGTTCCCTGACAAAGGGGAACAGGCACCAACATCTGCATAAGAATCGGGGGTTGGGACCGGAGGGTGTCTTGAATGTGGGAAGCTCAGGGCTTGGGCAGTCCCTAGCTAGCCCCTTTCACCTGCCTGATGATTCTGCCTCTTCTGTACGGTTTTCTGAGAAGCAGTCCCAATCCAGGCACATCCCACTGTCCTGCCACAGCCTAACCGCGACCTTGCTTTAAACTATACCAAGAAGAAGCTGCTGACCAAATCTGGTGGCCTTAGCTCTTACAATGTAGAAGGAGTTCTCGAACAAATGGACAAACACAAAAACAGCTCGCCAGCCAGCCAGACGCTGGCCAATATACAGCAGAAATACTCTGACCACTCTGTGGAACAGCCACAGAACTCAGGACCTGGCAGGACAGCTCCTTGGTACAGGAGGAATCAATTAGGTGAAGTCTGGGTATTTTCCAGTGTCATTGCTTTGTTTGAAGACTGTCCACAGATCCTGTTTCCTCTAGCAATGCACACAGCCAATCCCCTCTTGTTGAAAGCACCACTAAGACACAGCTGGCTTGGCTTTCAGAGTGTGTTTACCCTGCACCTAGAAACTAGGGTGAACACACATCCTGTTTTGAAAGAGACAAATCCACATTTAGTTTGCTAGTAAATAAACACACCTATGACATAGTTGGTATCACGGAGACTTGGTGGGATAATACCCACGACTTAGAATATTGCTATAGAAGAGTACAGCTTGCTCAGGAAGGATAGGCAGGGAAAAAAGGGAGGAGGTGTTGCCTTATATATTAAAAATGAACACACTTGGACTGAGGTGGAGATGGACAGAGAAGACAGATTTGTTGAGAGTCTCTGGGTTAAGTTAAAAGGGATAAAAAATAAGGGTGATGACGTGCTAGGGGTCTACTACAGATCACCTACCCAGGCAGAAGAGGTGGATCAGGCTTTTTAAAAACAATTAACAAAATCCTCCAAAGTGCAGGATTTGGTGGTGATGGGGGACTTCAACTCTCCAGACATATGTTGGGAAACTAACACTGCAGTGCACGGACTATCCAACAAGTTCTTGGACTGCATTGGAGACAACTTTTTATTTCAGAAGGCTGAGAAAGGTACTAGGGGAACGCTGTTCTACATTTGTTTTTTAACAAATAGGGAGGAACTGGCTGAGAATTTGAAAGTGGAAGGCAGTTTGGGAGAAAGTGACCATAAAATCTTAGAGTTCATGCTTCTGAGGAATGGTAGAAGGAAGAACAGCAAAATAGGAACAATGGATTTCAGGAAGACAGATTTAAGTAAACTCAGTAGGTAAGGTCCCATGGAGAATGGAAAGTGGTTGTCTAGGAAGGAGTCCTGCAGAAAGGGATCTAAGGCTCATAGTGGACCGACCACAAGCTAAATATGAGTCAACCATGTGACACTGTTGCAAAAAAAGAAAACATGATTCTGGGAGGCGTTAACAGGAGCACTGTGAGCAAGACACGAGGAGTCATTCTTCCGCTCTAATCTGCACTGATTAGGCCTCAACTGGAGTATTGTGTCCAGTTCTGGGCACCACATTTCAAGAAAGATGTGGGAAAATTGGAGAAGGTCCAGAGAAGTGCAGCAAAAATTATTAAAGGTCTAGAAAACATGACCTATGAGAGAAGACTGAAAGAATTTGGCTTGTTTAGTTTAGAAAAGAGAAGACTGAGAGGGGACATGAGAGCAGTTTTCAAGTATCTAAAAGAGTGTTACAAGGAGGAGGGAGAAAAATTGTTCTGCTTGGCCTCTGAGGACAGGACAAGAAGCAATGGGCTTAAATTGCAGCAAGGGAGGTTTAGGTTGGACATTAGGAAAAAACATCCTGCCTATCAGGATGGTCAAACACTGGAAAAAATTACCCAGAGAGGCTATGGAATCGCCATCACTGGAGATATTTAAGAACAGGTTAGACAGACACCTGTCAGGGATGGTCTAGACCAGTGGTTCTCAACCGTGGGCCATATGGCTCCCCAGGGCCATGCCCTACCTCTAGGGGGCCACATGGAAAAACGGAACATTAGGTAAATTATGTACCTTTTTTTTCCAACTAACAGCGGCTATGAGGGGGGCCACAGAGGTAAACGAGGCTCAGAAGGGGGCCAGGAGCAAAGAAAGGTTGAGAAACACTGGTCTAGACAGTACTTGGTCCTGCCGTGAGGGCAGGGGACTGGACTCAATGCCCTCTCGAGGGCCCTTCCACTCCTAGTATTCAAGACTTTTTCTTTAAAATGGACAAATTGTCCATTGGCTTCGGGGCTCCACCCCCAGGTTTGGCTCTTCGGCCGAGGGTCGGGGGAAGACATTTCCTGGAGGCTTTGGGGCAGGGAGGCCACTAACCTGGGTCGGTGACCTGCAACATGGAGAGCCCCGATCCGAGCTGGCTACTCTCTTGCTGGTGAGGCCACTCCCCTGTGATCACGCTGCAGAACAGCTGTCCCCTGCGATTGCTGCCCCCTGTGGTCACTGCAGAACATAACTGTCCTTGCTCTCCCACCCCTCCCTTTCCATGTGATGGAAAACAATCGGATTCCAGGCACATCCCATTGTCCTGGCACAACCAAACCCTGACCTGGCTTTAAGTTACGATCAGAGGGAGCTGCATACTGAATTTGGTGGTCCTAGCTGTTACCATTTAGGACAGATCTTGAACAAAGGGGCTCACAGACAGACAAACAGACAGCACAATTATTACGTTTGCAGATGTTACCAAGCTGAGAGGGGTTGCAAGTGCTTTGGAGGAGAGGGTGGACATGCACATTTCTAAAATATATACATTTCTAAAATATATAAATAGAGTTTACCATGTGTCCTGCATTCAGCATAGGGAAATAGGGTCACCCTAACTAGAAACTGGTGGTTGGCCTGTGCTGGCGGGCAGGGCTCGGGCTACGGGGGCTGTTCTGTCTTGGCCTCTGGGACTTTCCCAATCGCGAGGCCCGGATTCTAGCCCAAGACTGGACATCTAATCCTGTTGCCTGTGTTGGAGTCAGCTGCCAAACCTCTCACTCCTCACCTGCTCCCAAGGTGGGAAGCAAAAAACCCCCAATGCCCACAGGGAGGTGCCGAAACTCAGGGCTTCCGGCCCATGATGCAGAGACTTGCTACGGGTTGGATCAAATTGAGCTAGAGGCTAAATTCAGCCCACGGGCTGTACGTTCCCCATCCCTAGGCTAGACAAAGAATCATCAACCTTTCTTCCCACGCGTGGCCAGCCTGGTTCTGGGAACGCTGCCTTGCCTGGTGTTGAGCTGGGCTGTGTCAAGTTTCTCTGATCTGTCGTCGCAGACACAGACACGGACTTACTCAAATGGATGTTGCCTGTTTGCATTGGGTTGATTGTTGTCACGGCAGCATGTGTTGGGACGTGGCTATTGAAGAAAAGGAGGGAAAAGCCAGTCAGCCGAGGTAGGTAACATCCTTCTTACCGCAACAGTAAATCCCCAATCAGCCGATGGGCCTCAAATAAATCATTACTGATTATTAACAAAGTCATTGGCCATTCTGCCCACCATTTACATCACATTAGGAAAGTCACTTCCCCTCCCCCTTTTCTGCATTTTATGGTGACACAGTTTGTTCTCTCTTCTTTAATGTTCAATACCATAAAGGTCCAGCACATGTAACATACATGTAAAAATGTGTATTGACGCCTGCTCTAATGGGTGGTTGATAAAAACCCTCTACTGCTACCAGCTGCTGGAGCGTCCCCGTTAGCTCAAGTGGTAGACTATTTGTGACGTAGTGGGGGGCTGTCTGCTCTGTAAGCAAGGGTTCCCCAGCGCTGTGATGTGTGATTCCCAGTGACTCACCCACATGTGTATTGGCCCACACACCTAGTCCCAGCATGAGCAGATAACACTGCTTTTCCCAGGGAGAGAGACAAAGGAAGGGAGGTGGAGACGGTCACCTGGCTGGGGGGCAGGGTCTGGGAGCCAGGCAGTTTCTGGCTAGAAAACATGAAGGGAAAAGACTAAGCTGAGGGTTGAGGGGGTGATGGACCCTCTAACCCGAGGGGTCTGAGGCATCCGGGCCCTGACTCCTGTAACCACATCACGTCCATGCTGTGCTGTATCCTGGAGAAGCAATACACCTCCTTTATTGTACTGGCTGGCGGAGTCTGTTCTTGCTGCTACGGGGCTGCAGGATCAGGGGGAACCTCGACGCGCTGTCAAACCATTACGCTTTGGCAATGAAAGCCTTAGGTTCAAAACTGCTTGCAGCCCCTCATGGGCGTTAACACACCAGTGCTTATTGCTGGGGCTAACGCTGACTCTTGAGAGGCGTCGCATCGTGGCCAATGGGGCTACTGGAGGGTGACGGCTGGCAGTCCCAGCTGGCATTGTGTTAACGTGTCCGTTGGAGATTTGTTTAAGTGAACAACACTTTGCATGGGGCGTTTCACGGGAGTGTTTTGCATGTGTAACCCACAGTGGGGAGTGTGGTACCAGGCCCCCTCAGAGCATCACCAGACTCTAGCTTCACCAGAAGCAGGGGCTGGACCACTCCACAGCCGTCCTGTTCTGTTCATTCCTCCCTAGCCTCTGGCACGGGCCGCTGTCCGAGACAGGGCACTACGTTAGCTGGGCAAACCATTACTCCAAGGGCCCTGCAGTAGCTCCAGCTGTTAGCACTGGTGATCCTCGATTTAGTCCCTGATGTGAAGCCAAGTGGACGACCACCGCACAAACATCCGTTGTGTCCAGTAACACTATCCTCATTGCACAGGGAACACTTCCCCTCACAGCTGGCCTGGCTCTGGCAGGACCCCCCGCAGGGAGAGGGGTGGAGGGATATAAAGAGGCACGCTCTGATCGCAGTTACACTGGGGCAAATCTGCAGGAACTTGCACTGGTGCCCGGGAAAGGGTCAGTTCACCAGAGCTGCTGGAGTGACTCCAGATAACGCAAGGGAAAGCAGACTCTGGGAGGCAGTGCGGCCTAATGGAGAGAGCTATAGACAAGGGATCAGGAGAGCTGTGGTTCTATTTCCTGTCCTGACCTCGAGGGAGTCACTGCCCTTCTCTGTGCCTCAGTTTCCCCACCTGTAAAACGGGATCATTCTTCTCTGGCCCTCCATGGGGATTATGATACACGTAGTGCTGGGACACGGTTGCTGCATCCCTAGTCCTGGCAGGGATCTCCTCAGCCTTTCTGTGTAGGATAATGAGCTGTCTCGTTTACTCCCCTAAGATGCTGTTCCGGAATGCCATTATGCTGAGATCAAGAGGAGAAGCCCTCCGGAGGGGAACGAGCCGGTGAGTTCCCTTAGGCTATATCTACACTGCAGACCTATTTCAGGACCTCCTCAGCCTTGCTGTGTAGGATAATGAGCTGTCTCGTGTACTCCCCTAAGATGCTGTCCCCTCAGTCCAGGAAAAGGAGATCTCCTCAGCCTTTCTGTGTAGGATAATGAGCTGTCTCGTTTACTCCCCTAAGATGCTGTTCCGGAATGCCATTATGCTGAGATCAAGAGGAGAAGCCCTCCGGAGGGGAACGAGCCGGTGAGTTCCCTTAGGCTATATCTACTCTGCAGACCTATTTCAGGACACCGGAAGTATCCCAAAATAGCTATTCCACATCTATTGAAGAATATAACGTGCTTGCTTTTTCTGACATCCCTGTAAACCTCACTCCATGAGGAATAAAGGACATTTTGGAATAGTGCTTTATTTTGAACTAAGTGCTGTGTAGACAGCACCACATTTCGAAATAAGCTATTTCGAAATAAGTGACGCAATTCGCATAGCGTAAATTGCGTAGTGTATTTCGAGGTAAGGGCGCAGTGTAGACGCACCCGTAGGGGGAGTTTCCTGCAGACGTTGCCCTTACGGCCCTGGCTCCATCAGGTGAAAGCAAAGCCAGGGTCGTGTTTAATCAGTGAACATGTGGACTTGAACCACACTGGCCCCAGGCTGTCCCGAAGCAGCAAGCCCACCTGGGAAAGCAGCAGCAGCTCTGTGCTGGCCCTCAGACCTTTTGGCTTTGCTTGTAATTTTTGTTTCAAACATCTGCGGTAACCACAGGAAATTGCACTTACGGGCTATGGCCCTGCACATTATTAATCAGCCTTGTTTGCTGGGGAGTGACTGGTTCAGAAGTAGCATCCTGAGTTTCTAATAGGTGATCTAGGCAACATCTGTTAAATGTGCTCCCATGACGCACACCAGGAAGGGAGTCGGTCTCCCTCCTGTCTCCTGTCTGTTATTTACTGTATCTGTGGTGCTGTATTTGAGTAACTCCCTTGCATTTCAGTTAGGGGTTTCTTCTCCTTCACTTCCTGTCCTAAACGACCGAGCAGTTTTGCTGTTAAACACCTGACACGCCCCACCCCAGAAGTGGGTGCATTTCAGTGATGGGTGAAACTGGAATTTCTGGATAATCTCCAAAATTTTTACATAGGGAAAACTCTCTCTGACTGCAATAGACGTTGGAGTGAATGAAAGATCTATGGTTGAGGGTATTTCCCACTGCACTAGGATCCCCTTAGACACAAGGTCATTGTTCCTAGAAGACAAAAGTGGTTTTATTTGTTGTGTTGCTGGCTAGGGGATAAAGGACTTTGTGGAATTCCCTCCCCATTGATCTCTCTCGCTAGTGGTCTCAGGGACACACAGATGGCTCCTAAGGGCCTTCCAGGAATGAAGAGCCACTTCCAGTTGTGCTAATTAGCCAACAGAGACAGGACAACAAACAAGGTTTTTCCTTGCTCTTGTAGGACCCTAGCTGCCCGCATGAGGCACCACCTGTCACCACTATCTACGATCAGATCCGAATGGTCCCAGCTGAAACCTATGAGCAGATCACTTAAGCCAGTGATAGCCAGGTGAGAGCTGTGGCCAGGGTGGGTCTCAATCTGCGTCTACACTAGGGTACAGTATCCTAATGGAGTGGAATTGGTTTCTGACTCCATATGTCTGTTCAGACTGCTATCCTAGGTATCCTAATGGAGTGGAATTGGTTTCTGACTCCATACGTCTGTTCAGACTGCTATCCTGACCACGCTAACCCTGGTCTAGCTGCAGTGCCCTTTGGGTGCCTATCCTGCTGTGCATGCTGGGACGTTAAAGGCATCTCCATGCACTGGTACTCCAGCACCTCCCAGTCAGTCTGGTGCTGCCCTAGAGCAGTCTGCAATGCTCTTAGACCCCCAAGCAGCCAGGCTAAATGAAAGGCTATTTGGCCTCTGTCGGCTCCCTCTGGAGAGCTTTGAGGTGCAGGGGGAGGGGATGCTGTACATTAGGCTGGCTGAAATGTTTCTGTCCAATCTGGTTTTGATACAACTGACCTGGGAGGGGGGTGTTAAAGTAGATTTTTCTGTGGACTTTTTTGACTTTTTGTCAAAAAACCTAAAGGAAACTAAATGAAAATGTATCAGTCGAATACAGCCTTGAGTTTGGCTGCCTCGTGCCTCCATTCTGCTGTCAGGGCTGGGTTCCCCAGCCAGACTACATTTCCCATGATGCACCATGGGACACGCATCGCCCCTGATCAGCAAGTGAGGAGACTGTGGTGCATTATGGGAGATGTTGTTTAACCCGGGGGCCTGATCCACACAGGAGAATGCCCCCCTACACTACAACTCCCATGAAGCACTGCGGTGGCATTTCCAAATCAAAGGAGCCATTTTTTCAGCTAAAAGTTTTGATGTCTGGGTGAGATGTGGGGAGGCATGTTCTGTCCAACCTTAGATACCAATTCTAGAGTTCACTGTGGGGGAATATACCATTCTCAGCATAACGGGTCTGATTCGTGTAGCAACCAATGTCCCTTTGCACCACCATGGCTGCATAAAGAGCCCTTAAAAGTGGGCATAAATGGTAGTTAACCCCTATAATGCCCCTGGACATTCCCAAGGCCTTAGTGTAGAAATAAGGACGTTTCCACATAGGAAAATGAACTGGAATAGCTACATCAGAATAGCTCCCCATGTAGACATTCCTGGGTGAATTGGAAGTGGATTAAGCTCATTTGGGATACATCTCTCTCCTGTCCATACAGGGACATAAATAGGCATAGCTCTAGCCTTTCAAATTCATATCTACCTTAATCTGGACTAACTTCCCCTTGTGTTGGCAAGGTCATGAGTCAGGGACGCTTGGGGGAAGCAGAAATAACAACTTTCAAAGTGTAGGTGTTTCCCGGCATTCTCTGGCCGGCTTGCCCTGGAAACAGCATGAGAACAGAGCTGTTTGACCATTCCAAACATCCCCTTTTTTACTTCCCTCTTCATAAATCACATGGGGTGTAAAATCCACCCAGCAGGATGATGGCCTGGGAATAGCTCAGCAATGTTTGTCTTGCAAGTGGAGTGGAACTTCGGGCCACGTTACCAGGCAGCAGAAAGCACCACTGGTTCGGGGTCAAGTCCAGCATGGCTGGGAGTCTAATCCCAGTGGGGCAGTGCCACATGATGGCACGGGCATGTTCAAAGAACCTCCACGCCGGGAAGGAGGCGAGATGTCTTTAGCACTGGTGAGGCCGAGGTCTGCCAAGGATTAGAGCTGGAGGCTGGGAGTCAGGATGTGTGACTTCTATTTCCCCGACTCACTCCTCATCGGGCCTTCCTCTTGATGAGATTTCTCTGCCACCAAGGGAGGGCTGTTGTGTAAATCTCAGTGCAAGTGATTGGACACTCCTCGGGCGAAAGCCCCACATGCTCACGCTCCTCCCCCCACTCACGCACACAAAGGGTGACCTTGCAAAATGTGATCATTTGTCTGCTTTCTTTCAAAACAGGCGTGCCGAGAGAAGAGTGTGGCGGAGTCGACAACCCCCTGCGCTACCCTTTGAGGCTCTTAGGGGGGAAAGTGTGTGTGTTGTGCTAATAGAGGGGGGATTGTCTTAGTGCATCAATGCTGTGTGTGTCTGTTTTCCCTGCAGGTGGCGTGTTTAATGAGGGAGATGGGAGAGGGGTGTCGTTGCTGTAGAAGACCAGGAGTGATCTAGCCTACTGGTCGTGACTGAGGACAATAGCGCAGTGTCCCCCCTTGTGGGGGGAGCACCCTGCCCCAGGCCAGTGCCGCCGAGCGGGGAGATCGGTGAGAGCCACCCAGCTGTGCAGCCTGAAAACCCCCGCTCGGGAGGAGCCAGACGCGGGTCTCCAGGCATCGGGAACAGCGACAGGGGGGTCCTTGGGTGCTCCCAGGGGGAGTTACCCAGAAACGGGGGGCCAAAGCCAGAGGGCTGGGACAGGCTGCGCCCGGCTGTGCCACTGTGACTTTGCAAGGGCTGGACACGCCCCAAGAGAAGCAGCTGGGCCCGAGTGTGCTCCGGGGTGGGCGTGACGGATGGACGTTGAGTTTTGTCCCTTGGCTCCTGCCGCCCTCAGGGATGCTGGGGCGTGTCGGCTGCTGCTTTCATGCTGGAGCCCTGGGCCGGGCGGGGGCCTGATCCTTCCAGCTGGCAGGATGGAGCCACCTCTGCCTCCCCATGCAGGGCGGCACGCAGCCCGACGGCAGCCCTACGCCCCTCTCTGAGCGGGGACGTGCCTCCCATCTGGGCTGAGGATGTAAAAGCCCCTTTAATTAGTTAATTATTAACCATTTAAATGGGGGGAGGCAGGGGCTTCTCTGGCCAGGCTGGACCCTCCACCGCCTGCGACAAGCCCCACAGGACTGGGGCAGCTCCCTGCTCCCGGCGAATAGGGGCTGCTCTAGTCCCCACCGGTTAACTAACCAGTAAGCGTCACCCATTAAGGGGGATACTTATGTAAAAGCCCCTTTAATTAGTTAATTATTAACCATTTAAATGGGGGGAGGCAGGGGCTTCTCTGGCCAGGCTGGACCCTCCACCGCCTGCGACAAGCCCCACAGGACTGGGGCAGCTCCCTGCTCCCGGCGAATAGGGGCTGCTCTAGTCCCCACCGGTTAACTAACCAGTAAGCGTCACCCATTAAGGGGGATACTTACGGCGGAGTTGGGGGGGGAGCCAGCGAAGGCTCAGTGGCAGATGGGATACAGAACAGGGCCTGGGGGGGTGTCTGCGGGGGCGGGGCAGAGGATCATCCAGGCTCTGCTGAACAAGCCACAGGCTGCAGAGCAGCAGCCGGTCTGTGCGCCGGGTGAAGGCGGCCCAGTCCGCCGTGTCGGAGACAGTCCTAAGCCCACCAGCAAGAGAGTCTGAGCTCGGTAAGAAGCAGCCTGCCAAGCTACCGGCCCCTGCCCCAGCTGTGTAGCCCGTCAGAACATCCAACCTGCGACCACATCCCCATTAGGGGCCTTGTTTGCAGAAGGCCCAGAAAACCAGGGTCCTGTTGTGAAAACAGCCCTCTCCTAGTCCGCCGTGTCGGAGACAGTCCTAAGCCCACCAGCAAGAGAGTCTGAGCTCGGTAAGAAGCAGCCTGCCAAGCTACCGGCCCCTGCCCCAGCTGTGTAGCCCGTCAGAACATCCAACCTGCGACCACATCCCCATTAGGGGCCTTGTTTGCAGAAGGCCCAGAAAACCAGGGTCCTGTTGTGAAAACAGCCCTCTCCTGGCTCTGCTCACGTGCGGGGCTGTTGCTCTGCTCTGGATCGTCCTGCCCAGGAGGCCAGGCGCCAGGCTGTCCTAACGAAGCAATTAAATTCCCCATGCACGGGTCTGTATAGCTCGGGCTCCTGTGTGGTCTCCCTCACAGCTGGGCACTGCCACATCTTTAATGTAGTTATCCCCACGGCACCTCTGTGAGGTTGGGGGGTATTGCTCTTGCTCCCTTTTTCGATGACAAAGGGAAACTGAGGCACCGAACCCATCGGCAGCAGAGGAAGTTAGGCACCTCAGCATCTTTGGGGAGCTGAGCCGAGGTCATTCAGGAGTCAGCAGCAGTGAACGTGGGTCTGTCAAGTCCCAGGCGAATGGTTAGGGGGCTGCAGAGGGACACGGTCCCAGGGCTGTCCACACACGCAGCGACTCGGGGACAGATATTCCTAAATTCTTCCCTGTGGGGAGTCCCAGCTCCTCTCCCGTAGAGCTCGCTGCCGGCAGACAAGGCACCGGAAGGATGGTGCTTTCCCCATCACACAGGAGGTGAACTGTGGGCCTAAACCTGAACCTCCCTCATCCAGGTGTCTCTCATCTGGGAGGAGGGAGTGGCTCTGCGGCTGCCATTCCCCTTCCCCAGATATTCCTAAATTCTTCCCTGTGGGGAGTCCCAGCTCCTCTCCCGTAGAGCTCGCTGCCGGCAGACAAGGCACCGGAAGGATGGTGCTTTCCCCATCACACAGGAGGTGAACTGTGGGCCTAAACCTGAACCTCCCTCATCCAGGTGTCTCTCATCTGGGAGGAGGGAGTGGCTCTGCGGCTGCCATTCCCCTTCCCCCCCCTTGTGTCCAGACCCTGCACCTGCATCCCCCTCACACACGCTCCCTCCCTGCCATGCCCTCCACCCCAGTGCGCTCCTGCAATCTCCCTTCCAGACCCTGCACCCCCACCCCTACTGCGATGTTGTAATCTCCCTCCCAGGCTCTGAACCCCCCCCACCTTCCAGCATGCTCCTGCAATCTCCCTGCCCTCCCAGGCCCTGAACCCCCCACCCCCAGCGTGCTCCTGCAATCTCTCTGCCCTCCCAGGCTCTGAATCCCCCACCCCCAGCGTGCTCCTGCAATCTCTCTGCCCTCCCAGGCCCTGAACCCCCCACCCCCAGCGTGCTCCTGCAATCTCCCTGCCCTCCCAGGCCCTGAACTCCCCAGCGTGCTCCTGCAATCTCCCTGCTTCCCTCCCACGCCCTGCACCCCCCAGCCCCAGTGCGCGCCTGCAATTTCCCGACCTCCCTCCTAGGCCCTGCACCCCACCCCCACTGCGCACGCCCTGCCTCCTTCCCAGCCCCTGCAGCCCCCAGCCCCAGGGTGCTCCTGCACCCTCCCTCCCAGACCCCGTCTGTATTGCTGTCCATGTCATGTGAGAAATAAAAATTCAGTCCACCAAATTCAGACCACCCCCACCTCCCATGGGCCAGAACCCACCATAATCTGGCATGGCTGATTGCCCAAAATTGCTGGATTACGGAGGGTCAAGTGCATTGCTGGAGGCCGGGTGTTTGTTGGTTGTTATCACTCACACCACACGGTGGCGCGTCTGTACCAGGAAAGAGACTCCTTCCCTTTCCCATTCCCAGGGCTGTGTGGGGAGCTGTGCAGCTCCACCTGGGATGTTATCTAATGATCTGCATACGTTCAGCGCATTTGCACATCCCTCCCAACTTCAGCTTGTGATCTTCACCCCCTAGCCCACACAGTCTCCCCTTGCAAAGGCAGCACAGGCTTTAAACAGGGAGAGCAATTAATTACCCACCGGGATGACGGATCCGGGGGCGAGGTGGATTCACCGTCGCAGACCGTGTTTAAATGCAGGTTGGGTGTTTCCCCAGGAGCCAGGAATCGATCGGGGGCAGGTCTCCGGCCTGTGCTATGCAGGGGTCAGACTAGAGGACCACACAGCGTCTCCTGGCTTTGGATGCCATTCAAAGGGCAGGGCGGTGCCCCAGACTTGGCGGAGAGGAGCAGGGCGAGGGGTGGTAAATGGGCGCTGGTTTGATGGGCGCTGGGTTGGGTGCTGAGGTGCCATATAGTGGGGGAGGGGATTAGCATGGCTGGGCCTGTCACAGTACTGAGTTTGGGGTGCTGGGAGGAGAACAAGGGGGTAGAGGGCTCTTTGGGGGGACTGGCTGCCCTGTTCTGTGGGGGCAGAGGCCTGAGCCTGTCTGGGGCTTGTCAGGGGCCTGGCTGAGGCTTTCTGGGGTCTGGCACAAGGCCCTTCGGGGGCAGGGACATGGGGTTTAGCAAGGGTCCCAGCTGGATCTAATGCTCAGTGCAGCGGCTGGGCCCAACACCGTCTCCTCTGAAGAATCGGGTTGTGCCCACGAAAGCTCATGATACAATACATATTTTTCAGGTATCCAAAAGGGTGTCATAAGGAGGAGGGAGAAAACTTGTTCATCTTGGCCTCTGAGGATAGACCAAGAAGCAAAGGGCTTAAACTGCAGCAAGGGAGGTTTAGGTTGGACATTAGGAAAAAGTTCCTAACTGTCAGGGTGGTCAAACACTGGAATAAATTGCCCAGGGAGGTTGTGGAATCTCCATCTCTGGAGATATTTAAGAGTAGGTTAGATAAATGTCTATCAGGGATGGTCTAGACAGTACTTGGTCCTGCCATGAGGGCAGGGGACTGGACTTGATGACCTCTCGAGGTCCCTTCCAGTCCTTTCTCCCCGTTCACTCCCATCTAATGAACTCACTATCTAAGAAAGGTTTAGAATATACATACAAATATACATGGTAGATATACCATATACATACTGCCTACATCTACACTGACATGATTTTCCGAAAATGCTTTTAATGGAAAAGTTTTCCATTAAAAGCATTTTCGGAAAAGCACGTCCAGATTGGCAGGATGCTTTTCCGCAAAAGTACTTTTTGCGGAAAAGCATCCGAGGCCAATCTAGACACGGTTTTCCGCAAAAAAGCCCCGATCGCCATTTTCGCGATCGGGGCTTTTTTTGCGGAAAACAGTACTGTGCTGTTTACACTGGCCCTCTTGCGCAAATGATTTGCGCAAGAGGGCTTTTGCCCAAACAGGAGCAGCACAGTATTTCCGCAAGAACACTGATGATCTTACATGAGATCGTCAGTGTTCTTGCGTAAATTCAAGCAGCCAGTGTAGACAGCTGGCAAGTTTTTCCGCAAAATCAGATGATTTTGCGGAAAAACTTGCCAGTCTAGACACAGCTTGTTGGTCTCTAAGATGCCACAGGACCACTTGCTTTTTTTAAAAAAAGTGGTTTTTAAAGTTACAGACTAACACGGCTACCCCGCTGAGACTCTGAAAACTCAGGCAGCCAAGTCTGAGACCCAAGACCCCAGCAAAACAACCAGCTAGTTGTGAGGTCTCTAGGGTGGTCTCTTTGCTCTGTGTTTGTCCAGCGCCTGACGCCCTGGGCCAGGACTGGGGCTCGGAGCCACAGCTGCAACACAGGGAGTCAATAATAATAAAAGTGACAGCGGAACTTTCCCTGAAGTCGAAACTTCCTCCCGCAAAGGCACATGTCTGCCGGTTCCCTAGATGACACGGCTGACCCAACCCAGGCGAGAGCAGGTGAAGTGACTCATGAGACCTAAACCCCGCCAACCGCGCTTTCCAAAAAA